GTGATAAGGTCCTATGACTAGATTGAACTTCAAAACAGAGGAGAGCTTTTGCATACTCTCCAATTGTCCTGATTTGGCAGGGATAGTCCTGATTAATCTTCTGTCCCACTTTTTCAGCTGCTTTTAAAATGTCTCAGTTTCTATCTCCTTGTCATTTCCCCTTTTCTCTCCAGCTTATTTCAATTGCTGCAGACTGAATTCAGTGGACAAAAGTAGTTTACACTCAATTTACTCTGCAGGGGAGAGGACAGTAGCTGAAAAGGGGGACAAGTGAGGACTGACCAAATCTGAGCAGGTGGAGGGTATGACACTGTGTTTTTGTTTTGCCGAGGTGTTATTCTGCCTGTTGTCCAAAATAGTATTTGTTCAAAATTCAAAATTTCTTGGATTTTCCCCTTCCTTTTGGCCTAGTAAGTGACAATTTGCAGTCCATATAGCAATTTGTAACCAAGGCAGCTCCAGGCATTCTCTTTTGCCTACAGAGTTCCAGAAAGACCTAACACACTCTGTAAAGCCTATAGCTTATAAACCATTTCCACTTTGGATATTTATGTGTGAAGGTGCTATAAATGAAATGCCTGCATCTTTAACATGATATATGAGTGGTTAACTTACAGCTACAACATTGCTAATTAAATTTTGTTGCTCCTAAGCAACCAGCCTTAAGAAAATGGGACCAGAAACTGTAGGAAACATTCCCACACACATGGCTTTAAAAGCTCAAAACAAAGGTTATTTTTAAACAGGACAACTACTTCCTTGTTGATTTTCTCTCTTTCTCCCTAGAGTCCTAAGTTTCATTTGGAAACCACACAGATGAAAGTGATATACAAGATCTGTAATCATAGTTGCTTAGCTTTTTTGGAAAAAAGTTCTAGTAATAGGGATTTTCCCCTCCCTGAAGCCTGCAAATTCACTGAAATGGGAAATCTATTAACTTTAAGAAATGAAGCAAAATGTCATAACAGAGATTCTGAAAGGATTTATTATTATTTTAAACTATGGGATCCTTTGTATCTTAAATGCCACACAAGTAGTAAATGTGCATGTATACACAAAAGCATAGCTGTGGAACATACAAGCCCATGTCCAATGTCTGGGTCTATTATCTAGGATAGTTACCCCAAACCTCGTCGTCTCCAGATATGTTGGATTACAGCTCCCACCATTGCCAACCAGGTGCAGATATTTTGTTGTTGTTGTTAACTGCCCCCAAGTCGATCTCAACTCATGGCAGCCCTATGGATGTGATTATCTCCAAGCCCCTCTGTCCTCCACTGCTCTGCTTAATTCCTGCAACCCCTTAATACCTGTGACCTCTTTAATAGAGTCTGTCCATCTGGCATGTGGCCTTCCTCTTCCTACTTCCCTCCGCCTTTCTCAGCATTGTCTTTTCCAATGAGTGCTTCCTTCTCATGATGTGTCTGAAGTACAACAGTCTCAATTTGATCACCTTGGCTTCCAGGGAGGT